AATGGTAGACAAAGGATCGTTGCTTATGTTGCCGATCACTATCGTTATCCCAGTAATGTAGATCCTTTTCAAACTTGGTTTTATTAAACCAGGTAAGGGCTGACCCTTTCATAAAAGAGGGTACTAATGTTAATCTTCGTTTATCAGAGATACCGTTAGCCTCGCAAGCATGGTTGTATCGTTTCAACCAGTCACTGGGGTCTTGGTCACCCCTTTAAACGTGGGAAGATCGACAAATCTAACCTCTCGTGGTCCTCCAAATCCAACAGTTTTAAAGACAGTTTGTAGGCTTTTCATCATTTTAAAGAGGTTTTGTTCGTTATCATCCTAAGCGTTATTCATATCGAAGGGATCTACATCACTACCCTCTGAGTCACTATCGTCTGAATCTGAACTGGAAGAGAAGGAGGAGGAACTATCGTAATAAGAAGGATATCGATAACCTTGTCGTTTATTAGTTTCTTTGCCCTTAGGTTGTTTATATTGAGATCGATCAGTTTCCTGCTTAGAAGAACGTGAAGTACAACTATCCTTCTTGTTAGGGTTTACTTTTTCTTCATCGGAGGATTTTTCTAGAGTAAGTTTTGATGGTTTTCTTACTCTCCCATGTGAACTACGAATTGTTTCGTCAAAACCTAAAGTTCATTGGTTAGTATCTCTTCCACTAGGGGTAGTATTAGCGAATATAGTTTCTTCAGAAGGATAAGGTTCTTGAGGAGGGAGAGGATTCTTCTCAGCCGATTTAGGAATATTACTTCGATCAAGTGAGATTGCCCTAGAGGATCCAGTCATGCTAGAAGGAAAGGAGTTACGTCTTAGATTCGAGAGTGATAGATTGAGGTAAGTAAGTAAATCGCCTTGAAATCTCCGTTGAAAAGAACCAGTTTCAGTTTGTGCTTGAATACAATATCGAACTGCTTGTTCAAAAGTTGGTACGGGTGTGTTTCTATATCGAAAAGTGTTGAGTGTTTGTCTGTAATATATTCCTTGAAGACCAGTAGTTCCTGCGTCAACTGCGGTCTGAAAGGCTTCTAAGCTTTTACTAGTATATAACGATGCTTCTAGGACCTTTTGTGCCCACTCGAAAAAATAGAGAAAAGGTTGCGAAATCTCCTTAGGTGTTGGGTTACAAGCAATACAGGAAGGGTCGTCTGTTAAGGAAAAGTTTCCAGTAGTGTTTCTAAGATTACGTTCTTGCCTATTGTGTATAGCCGAATGATTACGTTGATATTTTATTAATTCTCTAAATTATTCATAGTGTTTCTCATAGTACTACGTAAACAGGGAAGATAGTTCTGTCATCGTCGCCAAATGTTAACGTATAATTTTGATGGATTACAACTGTTAGACGCGGTGTTTGAGCGGTGATTCTTTTATAGTTTACGTAATAATTTCCAAAGATTTATGCTAATCTCTACAGATTCAATAACAGTATATCAGGCTCAATCAGCTTGGTTTAGACGCAAACAGTTACAATCACAAGTTAATAGTTATCACGATGATTCAAGAAGAGTTTCGATAATAAGTAAATAATAATTTATTAAAATCAAGAAATTAAAAGAAAGGAAATAAGAAAAATAAAAATAGAAGTAGGGATATACGAGACGAAGAGTAGCATTACGCTATCTTTTACGGAGGGAATTTTTACACAACTGTCAGTCTGTTCTTTTTACATGAGTTAAGAGACTGCCTATTTATACAAAATAAAGTACATAGAAGAATATAACTAATATATCATATATGTCTACTATATCAACTATATCTACTATATTAACTATGTCGATTATGTTAGAAATGTTACATATGTCAGACATGTTAGAAATGTTACAAATGTCATTTAGGTTGATCTTTTGCGCCACATATACTGCGTCACATTTTACCCGTTCACATTACGAATTTTAATTAATTTTTTATTTTTATAATCAAAATACTAATTGATTAATCTAAAGTAAAATAATACATATCATTTAATTAAAATAATGATGAATCATTTTTCTTGAATAATAATTAATTGTTTAATTAAAATAATAATAAATTATTTAATTAAAATAATAATATATAAATACTTTATAATAAAACAAAGAGAAAATTATTAATAAATTTTTTGAGTTAATATTAAATCTAGATTTATTTTATTAAAAAAATAATATTTAACTTATAAATTAAAAAAATATTTCAAATAGTTTTCTCATTTTCTATGCAAAATACCTATATATTATTTAATTATAATTATAATTAATTATTTTTTTGAATAATAATTAATTATTCAATTAAAATGATGATAAATTATTCCTCTTGAATAATAATTAATTATTTAATTAAAATGATGTTAAATCATTTTTCTTAAATAATAGCTAATTATTCAATTAGCATGATAATAAATTATTTTTCTTAAATGATTCAGTCAAGTTAAATCAGATTAGATTAAATGAAAATTAAAATTAAATCAGATTTTTGTTTAATCTAACTTGATTTTTTTAGTTTAGATAACTTGATTGAGCTGATCTGAATTAACCTATTTAGAGCTTTAATTTGACTAATTGTAGATTAATTTCATAATATATAATAATCTATTATAACAAATTTTATTATATTATACTAAATAATTTATTATAATATTAATAATTTCTTATAATAAAGATTTAATTAACTAAATATTTACTTTATTATATCAAAATATGACTGTATTTTTTAATTAAATTTTTACAATTTTTATTATTTATTAAAATAATAATTTAAAAATATATATATAAATAATTAATAAAAATATATTAATTATTGATTTGTTATTTAATAATATAAAATTAATTAGTAAATTTAGTATAAATCCTATTATAAATTATATTATTTAACATATTTTAGTTCTTATTTTATCTTATTTTAACTAATAATCAAATGTAATAATAATTTTATTAATTAAGAATATAACACATGAGCAAGCTAAAAAATTTTTATTATAATTAATTAATTCAGCAAGTTTATTATGTAGAATATGATCATTTTACTTATATTTTATAATCTTTTATTTATAATACATGATTTTTATAAATTTTATAAAAATTTATTATAATATATATATATATATATATTTTTAAGCTAAATAAATATTTTAAAATATTTTTTATTTATTTTATATATAAATTCAGACTATTTTAGATAAATTTAAATTATAATTATTTTGAAAGTATTTCTATAACTTAGAGCTTTATTATAATTGCATATCTATTAATTTAACCTTGAATTATAAAAACTTTTAATATATCTTATTCTTTAATTTTCTTTGATTTTACATATTTTAATAACTTATTATATATTTTTTATATAACAATTTTATTTTAAAAATTTATATTATCATTCAAAAAATGTTTTAACAAACTTTTCATCTTTTTTATTATTCTTTTTCTACTTTTTTTTCTTCAAAAACCTGCTTATCCTCCTTGACAAAAGAAAATTTTTATTTAACAAATTTATAAAAAAAATATTAATAAGTTTACTAAAAGAAAATATTTATATTTAATTCTTATTTTATAATAAAATACTATAAATTTAGATTTTTATTTTTAATAACTAAGAAAAATATATTAATATTTTCATTTATAAATAATATTTCTCTTAATATTTATATAAAAATTTTTAATATTTGATAAATTAGCTGATTGATAATATCTATTATAATAAAAGATATTAGATATTATAAAATCATATTATATAATGCAGTTTTTTCTTATTAAATATATCATTATTAATTTTAACCTGTTATATTAATATTAATCTATAGTGAAATATTAATAAAAATCTAATACTATTTAATTAAGGTATAGATATTATCTAGTATAATGATACTTAGGTATATGTTAATATAATAAATTATAATTGCATAATAAACTATTATATAAATTAGTAGTGTTCTGCACAGATTTGAATCAATCTGAATCCAATCTGAATCTGACAGATCAAATTCAGATCGGATCTGTCAGATTCAAATCTAATTTAGATTTAGATTTAGATCAGATTTGATCTGTCAGATTCAGATTCAGATTCAGATCTGATCACGTTAAATTCAAATTCAGATTTAGATTTAGATTCAGATCTGATCCATCAGATCTAAATTCAAAAAGAAATATAAATAATATTTTTTAGTAATAAGTATAACAATTATAATTAATCTTATATAGTGTGTTGCAAAAAAAACCAGAATTACTATTTTTGTATTTATTTAATAAATATCTATTCAAATAATACAAAGATTTAAAGATAAGTACTTGAAAATCTAATGAAAAAATTTAATTAAAATCATTTGATAGCTTGCCTTAATAAAATATTTTGTAATTTACATTTTAAATACAAATTTTTTTTTAAAAAAATTTATTATAAAGTCAAAATATTTTATTTATTTATTAATCAATAATTTAATATATTATAAACATTAAAATTAAAATTAAAAATTAAAATATATTATAATATAAAGTAGTAATTTCTTTAAATTAATTTATATATTAACTAATTATAATTTTTCTTAAAATATTTTTATTACTAAATTTTCTTAATTAAAAAATTGATAATTATGAAATATTTTATTATGAAAAGTGGTCAAATGACTAAGAAAGTTATTCGTATCAAAATTTTACATATATTTCTAAATTTATTATATATAATTTAAATAAATACTTATAGGAAAAATTAAAAATTCCGGTTTTTTTTTGCAACACACTGTATATAAAAATTTAAGATGAATTATTAAATTCTATAGAGCTAATTATAAAGTTATTAATAAATTTTAAAATTATCTGCAAATTTGTTACTATTTAAGGAATAATGTAACCTACACACCGCATATTTTCAATAACGTGAAGGAAACCGTAATAAAGGAATAACCCCTCGATATTTTGTTGATTGTTTTTATAGATTTCTTTTTTTTTTTCTGATAATTTATGAAATCAAGTATTTCGTTAATTTAGGTTCTTTGCTCTATTTCTCTTTTTGGATATGTGAAAAAAAAAATGTTTACAACACAAGCAACGACGTGTCCCATTACAAATACAGAGGTGCCATTATTTAATTTTGATAATTTAAGGTTTGAATCTATATCAAATGACACTTTTGATACAGGTCGACAACTTTGCAAGGAGAAACAGCACCAAATTTGTCTGAACCTCATATCCATGTTAGGATTATCACAAGGTATCAGTGAAGAAAATATTTCAACTATTCTTTCTTCAAATTTAAATACTTTTGATTCTTTCGAGAATGCAATTGGTGTCATATTGAATAAGATTATCAAATATACATCATTAAATTTACAACAAAACAAGATCAACGAGAAAAAATCTATATCACCTAATAAGGCGGATCAACTAAATCAGTCACCAAGTGCGGGAGAAGACCTGGTTCCTTTAGCGTATGTAAGTGATGATGAGATTTATGATGTGGAAATGTCTGATGAAGATTCTAGTGAGATTCATGGCGGAATAAATAATACTAGTCAAGATAACGTGATTGATCATGAATTTGGTCAGGAGGATATTGTTGAACTTGATGAAAGTTTTTTAATTGAGAAAGAATCAAGGAATCATGATCCTATAAATGCGGGATGTAGTCGCGAGGAAAAAAGAGCACTTTGGATTTGTAATGCTGCCGGAATTACTCAACCCGAATATTTAGATGATTCAAATGCGGAAAGTCTTATTATTACGAATGTTAGTTTGAGCTCTGAAAGTAGTGAACTTGATTCACTCCCAAGATTTAAAATATATTGTAAAGTTTTTTTCCTTTATACGTTATTTTTATATAATTACAATATTTTTGCTTATCTTATGATTTTTTAATCTAGGTGGATATTTACAAACAGCAGAATTTAAAAACCATGTTAGATCACTTGGGTTCCCATCATTACCAGAAATTCGTGATATTAATATTCGTAACATAGCCAAAGGAAGTGAAAATTTCAGAGGACATGGGAGACGTTATGAATATTTAGGAAATCATGTGCTTAAATTATCCACTTTGAAAATTGTTCTACATTACTTTATGAAACCTTTAAACCATTCACTAGAGATTATTATTGACTTTTTAAATAGCAGAATACTATTCGTTGCTTATTGTATATGTCTAAATTTACATGAAGATAATAACATACCCCAAGATGCTCATTATAAAACATATGCTGATGCATATAAAACCTACTTTGGCGGACTTTATTTGGATCAAGGTGAAGAAGTGATAACCGAATATCTTACGGAGTTAATGACGCCATTTTTGTGTAATCTGACTGATTATCAACATAACATCGAGTCACAACCACTCGATACCCAAATGATGAGACAATTAGCTGCAAAATACTTTAACATGGAATGGCTTATTTGGCTTATTTAAAAAAAAATAAAAGGGAGGAAAGTGAAATTGATTAATAATTATTGGAGAAATATCTTCCTCGATAAATGGTATAGCATGGTAAAGGTCCTCCTCTCAGTCTCTCAAATAGCAGATTATCTTATATTTTAATAAAGGATCATCACTAAAAGATTGCAATGAACTATTTCCAATCCTTCAGCCTTTGTCTTTCTGATAAAATTGTTTCAAAAGAGGTGATGGCTTATAACTCCCAAGAATTTATTCAATATCAATTGTTTAAATAGCATAAATTAAATGATTTTTAAAAAGATATTGGTATCATTAGAACAATTAGCATTGTGCATTTTCTTGTCTCAAGCATCGTTAGATTGTTCCATCCCATCCCAACTGTCACGATCACGTCCAACCATTGTCCCGGAATAAAGTATATCGTATACAGGAAGTAATTAGATAATCATCTTTATTTTAATGTCTTTCTATAAAAGAAATATTATACTAATTACAATTGTTTTTATGTCAGAATGATTATATTTTTTATCACTGAGTCGCGTATTCTTCAAGTGAGTATAAAAAAGTTAACAAAAATAATTAATGCAACTCTGATTAAAAATATTTTTGATAAGAAAACTTTGATTTTGAGAAATGTTAGAAATGAAATGATGATGTTCATACTTCTTCGAAGCAGGATAAATGGCCAACAAATTTTCCGAATTCAACATTGGATATTATTATTTCCGAAGATGTTCTCTTTCCCGACTTTTAATTCAATCATTTTATTGATCATATCCTCATCAATTATTTCAAATCAATCAATTAATCACGTGATTTTTTTTGCACTTTTTTTTTTTAAAAGAATTTTATATTACAACGATTTATACAATTTTCTTCGGATCGATAAACTTTGTATTTTCTTGTGGTTTAAATTTTTTTCTTAACATGACAGGAATTAAAGCTGTGACAGCAAATAATGACATCGCAACGATATTTTGTATGGTCAAAAAAGTGAATTCATCAGATTCTGACAACACGTGAATAGTTTCCCCGGCTTGAGCGTGAATAAAAGATAATGGTGCAACACCTTTTAAATTAATAAAGAATTAATGTTAAATTATATAATAAATAGTTCAAAATTTTCAAGATATCTTAATCGTAAAGTACCAAAGAAAGTCGCCCAATAAAATACTCCGATACCAACTCCAAGATGAGGAGACGCTATATTGATGAACCAATTTGGTAAGAAAGGTGCTATTCTAAGAAATATTATATATGAGAATAATCCTTTTCGATGCGAGTTTAGCTTTTTGTATTAAAAAAATTTTGTAAGTTAAAAAAAAAAATTATAATGTTATTATTTCAAGAAGATCAAGAAAGGCAAAGTTTCAAACCTGTACATTCCAACGTTCCATTCGCTCAGCGAGATAATTTTGAGTTACTGGCTGTCCCAAATAGTAAGACAACAGATAAGAAATAGTTGCACCTGTACCTGTACACTTTTCTCGTAGCATATATATTAATTCAAAAGATAAATAAAAGAAATTATTTAAAAAAAAAAAGTTCGAACAAGTCCACCTTTACTTACAAAACTAACAAGAACCAAAGCCTTCCAACTTCCCCATAATGTTCCACCTAACACGCTAAGCATCACACTTCCTGGTACCGCAAAAGACTGTAAGCTATAAAAAAGATTTCCGATTAAATCAAGATTTGTGAAATAAACTAAAAGTCATTGTACTTACAATATATAAGTTGCAATGTAACATATTACGATATAGATATCATCATTTCCGTGACCTGTCAAAGCTTCATGGATTAATCTTACATCTTGCAAAGTTCTTGGGAATTTCAGAACGTCTTTCCTATAAAAAGAATTAAATAAAGAAATTATTTAATTATAAAGAAAAAAAAACCAAAAAAAAAAAAAATAAAGGTAAAAGAAAAACCTTGTAATTTACCCACCCTTCTTTTGGTAGATAAGTATCGAGGATAAAATATAATATTCCAGCAGATATTATAAAAATAATCGTAAGTATTATTGTTGAAGATAAAATCGAAGTTTTTGGCTTAGAAAATGTCATATGATTGTATTAAAAAAAAAAAAATTACAAGAATGAAAAAAACAGGATACCTAAAATGTAAAATCGAGTTAAAATCTATTAAATTTATGCAGACTAATTTATTAGCCAAAAAGGGTATTGCTCAGTGCGTCTCCGGCTTCACACGTGTTTGCCACGTTTTAGCGTCGTGCTCACGTGTCTAGTTTTAAACAAACTTTTTTCCTTTAATTATAAATTGTTTTTAATTTTTTAATCTCTCTATTATTACATTTAATCAATTGTCTACTCATTTGTAAAAAACATGAACGAAGATATCGGCATTGAAACTGAATTAAGCGATGATGAGTTTTACGTTGAAAAGATTTTGGATCATACGTGGACTAGAGAAGTAAGTTGCAACGTGATAATTAATAACATACAGAGATTGATTTAACAAGGTTACGCCTTTATTTTAATTTAATAGGGAGATCCTTTATTTTTACTTAAATGGAGAGGTTTTCCTGAAGAAGAGAATAGTTGGGTAGAAAAGGACAATATGTAAGTGATATGAATTAATAATAAATTTATTTGTACTGTAATTGAATAAATTATTTATAAGATATTTAATTATATAGATGTGCCGTAAATCTTATTGAAGAATATTGGAAAGATATCGGTGGAAAACCAGATCCTCCAATCAATAAAAACGCCATAAAATGTTCCAAAAGCTCTGATTCTGAACCAGTATATGACAACGAATATACTAAAGAATCAACGAATGAAAATTTGTACGCGAAGCCCATGATAAACAATAAAGATGCATTCCCATTCATCATTCCGATGATAACAGATCCAACCATCTATCAGCCAAACTGGGAAGAATTCGTTGATAATATCTTAGCGGTTGAATATTCATCAAATTTTATTTACATCAGGATTAAATGGTATATTAACTCATCGCCAATTTACTTGGAGTAAACATGTGCTGAATTTTAAAGTTTGTAGGATTACAGGACATACAACAAAGCATCCATCAGTCGAGGCGAACTACAAATGTCCTATCAAGGTAGTCATTTGATTTGTTTTGTGGCGTATCTTATATATGATATTCACTACATACATCATTATTCATTAGATTCTTCAGTTTTATGAATCCCATATAGATTTTATGCGAATAGAATGATTCATTCTGCTATAATAATACTTTTGCTTTTGCGTTACGTCACCTTTATCATAATATTGGTTGTAACACGATGACCGATCCCCGATTTTAAAAATAAATTTCTGCAAATTCTACCTTCTAAAAATATTACTTGCTTATATTTTATTCTTATAATCTTAATTAATAATCTTTCATAATGAATCTTTTTTATTTTCTAATGTTGAATTAAAATATTTCTTGCAATATGTAATTTCATTGAGAATTATGTTCAGATAATTTTGGGTGATAGTTAAGCTTGTTCGTTGATTTTCTATTAATTTACCTAAATTGATTTTTTATAGACCAAACAAATTCTTCATATTTAAAAATCAATAAAGCTCTCTTTCTTTTAGACATACTTCAAAATTTTATAATAAAATAAAAAAAAAAGAATCTTCAAAAGTTATCGAATAACCTATACGTATAAAGAAGCAGTTATCTAACTAGGTTCATTATTATTTTTTTTTAAAAAAAAAGTAAAATTGAAAAAATAGAAATCTTATAAAAGTTGCATAATATAGTAGCCATTAATCAGTTTGAGGAAAAATGTAAATTATATATAATGCTAAAAGTATAATTTTTCAAAAGTATCTTAAATTTCATCAATGATTTAAAAAGTATGATCAGAAGTTATTCAAATTATTTATCGATTTTTTAACTTCCTTATATTAATCACTCAAAGATTTTTACAAATAAATTAATCTTATCCTTTTTATTGTCGAATGTTTAACTTGTATTAAATTCAGTATGTTTTATTCCAAAGAAATATTAACGCAAAAAAAAGAAGGATTTGGAATAATTTGGTATGATCAAATTTAACGTTATTTGCATAATTCGCGTAGGAAGCACATTCCTGGACATTTTTGATAATTATAGGTTGGCCGCAACCTTGGGCTCACGATCTAATTTTCGAAAACTTTCGAAAAAGGAAGTAAATTCGGTTGATATTGTCAATGCCTGGTACGAATCATGTTTTGTTTTATAAACTTGACGCAAGCTAATGTATTGCTTGTTCTTGTAATAGTAAATATATTACTACGCCACCCGAACCGCTCGCTCTTCGACTAACTTCCAATCTTATGGTTGGAATCTCACGCGTTTTTAATCAACAATATCATTTTTATTACAGTTAAGTTCTCTTTTCATTCACATTAGCCTGTTATAATTACTTTATTTTTTTTTTTGTTCACATACCTTTTTTTTTTTTAGCCGATGTGAATGGGGTATGGCATAACTTGCAAAAGGCTTTAACTGAAATTCATGGAGAATCGATCGATATGGCAAATCCACAAGCTAGGTGATTACTCAAGTTCTCAGTTTGAAGGGATACTTTGTTCTTTCTTCATTGAATGATGTGTCCATTTTTATTTAAAGACGTGAAGCGATTACCTTGAAGGATGATCCTTTTTTCGAGTTTGAGTTAAATTTTCCTTTGCATGACATTACCATGGTAAAACATAAATTTCTTTAAGAAATTTACGTGAAACCTTCTTATAAAAACTAACTGAATTCGATTTGAATTGTAAAGCTACATGATATAGAAAATCAAATGGAGCTCGTACAAATCTCATCGCCATCGATTGAAGGTACTCGTCAATGTCCCAGTAAAATATCTCGAAAATCGTAAAGACGTTTAAATTATAAATAATTCTTAATTTCTTTTATATTAAAGCTCTTTCCGCCAATGGGTCGTATAATAAAAGTAATAAAAGTCAACTTTCTTTAATAACTCTACCTGAAATTGATACCGGATTCACTGCTTCTTCTGGTGAACTCGGTGGATTCGGTGTAGATTTGAATGACGATATCCTAATGAAAGATGATTCCGGGTGAATTTTTTTTTAATAAAAAAAAATAAAAAAAAAAAAGAATAACAAATGTTAAATGAACCTTTCGGTTCATAAATTTAGTTTTTTTTTTCCTTACTTTATATCCTGATAATATTTTTATTCGCTATTAGCATAAGAATTGAATTTGACGCAGAGGGTGGTTTGCATGAAGTTTTCACGCTTCAACAGCAAGTTGATGATACTAACCCAACGAACGATATAATCAGAAGAGTAAATGGCGACAAACGCCTTGAAGGAAGGAGAGAGAACCAAAGACGTAAAAGAAGCCTTATAAATGAAGAACCACAAGAAATGGTAATTAAATTTATTTTTGTATATTATTGTAACAGAATATTCAAGAATCATATATGAAAAACTTATATTTAGGAAGTGGACAATGAATTAGGAATTCAACCTATGGACGTCAATGCTTTCGAGGCACGAGATATGGAACTTAATGAAGGAAATCAACAACAAATACCCATTGAAGAACAAGATAATGTAAATAAGGAAAATGAACCCGACGAGCATCCTTTACCCGAACAAAGACGTAAAAGGAGACGTAGAATTCGTGTTATGTTCGATGAAGAAACTGAGTTAACTAATGAGCAAATACTTGAGATGCGTCAAGACGTTATAGACGATCTGGATGAGGCCGAATTTGTTAAAAGTGAAAAGGTATAACATTATTTGATAATGCATTTTTAAAATGGCAGATGTTAACGGTTTTTTTTTACTATTACAAATGTATTAAGATGAGAATGCAAGAAAGCAAAAAGCAATTGGAAAACATTCTTTATACTCCTGGAAAGCCTTGTAAATGAATAATTACTTTATCATTTGCTTTTTAAATGGTACGTAATTAATAGATCGTAATTATTCTAAATTTTTATAGTCCTGGCTCCACAACTTGCTTCTTTATGGGAGCAACATTGTGCTCCTATACTTTATGGTACGTAATATTTTCAAGCTAATTTTTGAATGGTACTTGATGAAATTACTTTTGACTTTTGATATGCTATATAGATGAAAATGTAAAGAAGAGAAGAGCTCAACCATCTACTTTAGGTAAGATAAAAATGTTAAGAAAAATTGAAACAAAATTGTAATGCAACTTTAATCTTAGATTTAAATTTGGGTGAACGCGATGACTTGAATGTTGAAAGAAATGACCTTCATATAGGAGGCTCTATTATTCCAGTTAGTAGTAATATAATTTATTTGAGACACGGTTTGTTATTTCTTCATTTTACTCCTAAAATGAACATCATTCTCTTCAGCGTGGCGTTAGAGATAGTATAAGAAGTGATGAGCCCGAGCGACTTCGTAAAGAAGAAAGCCAACAAAGTTCAATCATGATGACTGGAATGGAAAACTTTGGGCCTGAAATGGGTAAGTAGTGGTACGATTTTATCTTTTTATTCACTTTTTTTTTTTTAAATAATAATAATCTTTTTTTCATTACTTTTTTTTTACCTGAAGATCATTTTTTTGATCACTATTCTTCTGCGGGCGGCAGTACGGACGCGAACATGGATTTGTTGGGCCCACTTGGAAGGTAATCAAATACTATGTGATTCTTCGATATGAAAGATAACGTAAAAATATTTTGTATCAACTTAGCGATGGTGGACGAAGACTTGATTCAATGGGATTTAATGTGCCAGTCACTGATTTCTTGGACGATAAAATGTTAGAAGACGATAGCTTTGCCTTGCCTAACTATCCAATATTTGGAGGTACATTTTCAATTAATGTTGTCATTCATAGAATAAATTCAACATAACGACCAATCTACTTTTAGATCTTTCTCTATTCGATAATCCAAGTCACGTAGGACAATCTACGTCCATAAATATAAACAGTGAACAAGAAGCAATGAATTTCTTAGAATCCATTAAAACAATTATGAAAGATGCTTGCGTTTCAATTGCTACTTTCCAAGATATCATGGAAACTCAACACGTTAGAAGACCTGATGTTGCGAGGAATTTTTACTACATTTTGGGTATGTAACGATTTTTAATTGGATACTGTATATTGATAATTTCCGATTAATTGAAAATTTTTCATTTTTAATAAGCGCTCGCAAACAAGAATTTAATTAAAGTTAACCAATCCAAGACATATGATAATATCGTGATTCAAGTTCGAAACGAATGAATATATTGAGGACGGATATTATTTATTTAAATCAATTTTAAGATTTTCATATATTTTAAGTCATGCGTGACAATATACATATTATGGTCAAGAGTTAAAGGGTTCGATATTTCGAAAGCAAAATTATAGTTATTTTCTTTTTTTTTACCATTAAATGAAAAGTTCTTAATAAAGAAAGATTTTATTAATAAACGTTTAATATTTTCTTTGAAATGAGTTTTATGAACATACAGATGGACTATTTTATATACAATTCACTAAATGATTTTAAAAATACGTCTTTAACGTCTTTGATTCATATATGCGCCACGTCCACGTCTAAAAGAGCCACGAATGTTGGTTGTGGTGTTGGCGGCGGTGGTGGAGGTGGTGGTGGTGGTTTTTTCAATGTAATTCTTTCTTTTATACTCATTATTCTTATCTCCAGGCATAAAAGATAGAGATGGTACGACACCATATTTCTCTATCTCATCATTACTAATTTGATTATCGGGAATGGGAATTGTGCTTTCCTTTTTTTTTCTCAAATGAAATAATTCATCATTTGTATAAGGATTTTGATGATATCCACTTTTTTCACTATCTTTTACTGCATTAATTAATCTATCACAAACTTTTGATTCCCAATTGGTTTTTGGTAAAGGAAAATTAACCATATCGAAGAATATATTCCAGGTCTTTGCGGCGTAAATTACTTTGATAAGAGAAAGAAGCGATGTACTCATCTCATCCGAAGGGTATCCGTATTTTCTATCCATTTCTACTTCTTTTCCCCTCATCATTTTCAAAAATGCAACTTGAAACATCACAAGGCGTAATGAGGTTCCACTTAAACTAAACGTTTTTTCTAATCTATATTTGGAAATATAATCACTTTTTTCCAAGAATGCCAATTCGGGAGCACCATTTAAGAACCATACAACGTTACGTGATAACAATTCTTCCAAGAAACAGGCGACAAATCTAGACCAGGGGATATTTTTCGTTAATAACAAATAAATCATGAATTCTCCTAAATTGGGTGTTGAAGTTTTAAGTCGATTCTTTCGATCCGGATGCATAAATGCATTGATTTTCTTTTCAGCCTCCGTAATGATTTGAGGAAATACTTTTGATAGTTTTAATAACAAGTGTAATAAAAGACAATACCCTTGTAATGCTTTCTCGGACGCTTTCAAGACTTTTGATCTTGATGATCGGTCATCACAAGCTTTCATTAAAGCAACCACCATTGTATTCATAAGACCAGGAATTGTCTTTAGAATTATTGAAGGATTCCATGGTTTTCCTCTTTCTTCTCTTAATTCCATTAAGGTTGATTGTATGATAGGTAACGCACGTTTAAAATGAAACTTGTTTAACGCGACAGGAAGGAAATGGGTAAAGTGATCACCCCAGATACCTTGTCGTAAGTTATGATTTTTAAACGACTCGTAAGAAAAAAGATCAAATTCACTTAAACCAAGTTCTCTTCTATTGATTGGACCCCCACCAACCCTTATTCCAACTCCAAGAACACATTCTGTAAAAGGTTTCCTTAGAAAGTAACAAACTAATTGTCGTCGAATCAATATGTTATAAAATTGAACTAGACGACGAATACGTGGATAAACACTCGACAAGATCATAATATCACGATCCGGCAAAAACCCTATGATATGTAACCAAACATCATCATTTAAATCATTTACTGTACATGTTGATACATGTTTGGAAACAATTCTAGGCTTTACGACGTTATGGGAGACGTTCAATATACTGGAACCGCCAGCATTCATTTCATCAATTTCTTCTTGTAATTCTTTGTCAGTAAGGACGGCAATTAAAGGGTTATCAACTTCCCGATCATTAAATCCACATAATTTACATTGATAAGCTCTCACAATTTGTTCGGAATGCTTTCTAAAACTTTCTTTATCGATACCTTGGCATTGGATTTTCGAAACATATCCATCGTTTTGTTCAACTTTATGATCAGAGAAAAAACTCAATAATTGTAAAAAAATATATTTAAGCAAATAACCGGGAGTATAACCTCCATTGTAACCTCTAGATTCACGGAAAACCGTATAAGTCTGTAATATGTCGGCACAAATCATTCCACTATCGAATACGTTTGGATGTTTTACTGGCGTTTGTATTGTTATGCTTGGTGCTCTTTTAGGATATTCCTCGGGTACTTTGACTTTGCAATGTAATCTTAGGTTGCTAAATGGTCCTTGATACGATGTCAATATTAAACACATTGAAGTCATATCATCATCATGGATTTTAACTTTAATCCCTTTAAGCGGTTCGTCATTTAATTCAACTATTTCACGCTTTAAACGTGGCAAGCATGCCGAAGGAACCCTTTGAAGCGACATGATTAAGCCAATTGTATTCGAGTGGAGTAAATTTTTTTCTTTTTTCCAAATATCGGTTCAAAAAATGTTCTTTTCTTAATATAAGCAAGAATCCAAACTTTCACATTTCATTATATGCTTATATTTGTTCAGATGATTTTTTTTATCGTATGACAAATAATATTCCCATAAATATCTTATAATGGTACGCAGCATCATAATTCCGAAGTACAAATAATGCGAAAGTTAACAAAATTATGGTAGAACAGGCACGTGTAATACCAACAACGAATAATCATTGGATGATATATATATAGATTCTGCGGAGAGTAAATGTGATTTAATTTAGTTATCGTTATTTTTATAGAGTGTAACTTTCTCATTATGTTAATCATACCAATTACAACATTTATGAGATCCCGAGGTTATTTTTAAATAAATTGTTTTAAAATTCTTGGTCAAAAAATTTATTAAAAAAATCAAATTTGATCCGAATGAAATTTCTTTCCCACAATAATTTGATTTAGTAATGATTGGTAACAATATTTTCAAGTAATGTAGGCTGCACTAAGTCTTATGACCCAAAAAGTGAAATGTTTCTCGGTGTTTCCGTAAAATTGACCTTGAGCTCTCTATCAATAAATCTCTTCTCTTCGACTCCGTGACGGGTTACATCCGTTCCTGAGTCAAAATGTGCGAACATCATACAACAAATAAATCACACGACGTTTTAAATCATGCATCGTGTAAATTAATCGTGTAATTTAACAAAATAATATTTGATAAAGGTATGAAACAAAATGATCACACTTTGGCGTTATTACTTTACTACCGCTAATCCACGATGATTATAATCATGGTAGTTTCTGGCATTCGGTACAAGGATGATGAATTGGAGATTTTGGCAAGATGGCATGAATCCAATAACATGATTCGTTCCTTACAATTTGACCTTATGTTGAACTTTCGACTTTTTTTTTTTTTTTTTTTTTTTTTTTTTTTCTTGTTTATAAGAATTAATAATTCGTAACATTATTATTCCAATCAATTAATATACAATATAATAATCATAGGGATCCACAATCTCCATCGTTCTATTTTTATTTTTTTTCGTGAATTTTGTTACACAAAACAGAATCTCTGTTGTTTATGTTGTATATCAATATGGGGTGAAATTTATCCATACCACAACGGACATCCAGTGGATTATCCGTTCAACAGGTTAATGGTACGATAAGAAAGATGATTAGATGGAAAAGGAAATTAAAATAAACAAGCCTGTACGGGTTGAGATATAGTATTACTTATATTTTCAAGTTCTTTTTTTTTTTAATTGTATTTATATTTATATTATACATGTACAGTACATCAATTCAAATATTAATTCCATTACAAACAAGCAGAACATTTTATATTTACATATTTATTTTTATTTTTATTTATTTTTTTGATCTGGGTTATATTAAGGTAATAAAAGCTACATTCTTTTTTTTTTAATTAATAAGAATCCACCTTTTTTAACATTAATCAGCAAATTTATGAATCCTTATTAATCAGCTGCATTTCATTAATAATTAATATTCCAAATTAAGTCACACATGGGATCATTTACTCTTTGAGTTTTACAATGATGTAATTGTGTGAATAAAAAAAAAATCACGACTTACTTTTGTAGGGAAGTTCTGTTGCGACCCGAATTCTGAAACATGGTTCAAAAGATTCGGTGTTCGGTACCACGTTGAATTTTACAAATTTATTCGAAATAATCACTTTTTTATGTAATGTAATTTCACATCTCGCCTCATTGATAATTTCATCGTAAAAAAAAAAAAAGGAACAATAAATTGCATTTGAAGTGAAAGAATTTCAAATTTTATGTTATGAATTTTATGGCAAAAAGGTAACAAATCTAAATGAATCAGATTCCGCATTTCGGTTTTTTGATGTCGTTAGATTAATAAATGTAAAAAAAATTCTTAAACCTGATTTTCCTAGCAATCATCCACAATTTTATATATAATTTTTAAAATGTCTTATTGGTTACTGTCCGCAATTGCAATAAGTACGATTGAAACGACGGTTTTCCCAGCGTAATTAAAAAATAGAATAGCTGAAAAACAATTCAATCAATTAACTAGTCTGTATTTATCTAGTCTGTATTATTTTTTGTTTACCATAAAAAAAAAAAAAACGTGATTTTTGGCGACGAATGTGATAAACATTATTTCTGATAAAGTTTATCAAGCATTTTAACGTAATGTATGTGATCCATCCGAAAACTAGTGTGAAAACGCGATAGTGTAATGAATTGATGACGAGACACGCGTTAGTAGATTAATGACATATGAAATATATGATAAAGACATGGTTCATAATACTGAATATATATATATATTTTTTTCGTTTACATATTTATATTCTGATTAAATCTCCAATTTTTACGGAGATTGTCACGTATCAAGAAGTATATTTTCTTTATTCAAATGTTTGAATTTCAAAAACTCATAAAGTATGATTCAACTTCATCGCCGTTAATTGTTCGCTAAACTTAGATCAGTAATGTTAATAATTATTTTTTTTACGATTACCGACAATTCATTACGAAAAATTTAATAAATCAACAACTTTTAAAAAAGAAAGTTTGACTCTTTCTCA